CCTCTTTCCTCTTTCCTTCGTTGAATTCTTCTCATTTTTCTCTTTAATTATCGATTAAGATTTTGTTTTTGGATTGTGTCGTACTCTCTCTTCTCTCTGCGAAGTGATTTCTTGAATGAAAAAAAATCTTGGCTTCTTCTCTGTACTCTGTTTCACGTGAGTCGTTTTTTTGTTTTTTATTTTTTATTCCTTGCTAACTGAAAAACTGTTTTGCCTTTTGCTTGACTGGTGGGGTTGGGCGATTCTTTCATTTGTTATTGATTTTGTGACTTTTCAGTTCACAAAACACGCGCATACAACACTTTTCTCTCGGATTCCCAATTTCTTGTTCAAGTTCTGATTCTTTTCTTGTTTAGCGTTTTGTATACCATCCCCACATGCAATTTCCTGTATTTTTCTGATCTGGATTGGATCGCAGGTATCTCTGTTTGTTTTATTCCTCGGGAGAGAAAGAAGGAGGGTTGGTTCTGGGGTTAAGTAGATAAGAGGCCTTCGAGGCACCAATGACAATTGGTGAGATTTTTTTCCTCTTTTTGGAATTTTTTTTTTCAGTGGTTACGTTTTTGTTTTGTTCTAAGTTGTAATTCTTTGGTTTCTATAGTTTTGCATCACTTTGGTTTATTCTAAACGGGATTAATTTTGATTTCTTATTTACGTAATGTAATTCTTAACCGTCTGACATATGAAATAGGTTGAATTTTGTGTTTTCAAGTTGAGGTTCGAAGAATTAATTGGCTGCAGCGAGGCGATTTTATTCACTGTGTGCTGTTGAAATTGGCGATTTCTTGATTGGATATTATTGGTTTTGTGTAACTTTGATCAATTAGTCTGAGTTGACATTGTATACAATCCCGAGGCATGTCGAGTGTGGATGTATCTAAGTATGCCCATAGTCCTGTCCATGAAGCCATTATTTTGAAAGACTATGCTGGTCTAAGGAGGATCATAGCAGGTCTTCCACGGCTTTGTGACCCGGCAGAGATTCATACAGAGTCAGTTTCACTTGCTGAGGAAGCTAAAGCTGACGCCATTTCTGCTGTGATTGATCGACGTGATGTCCCTAGCCGGGACACACCTCTTCACTTGGCTGTCAAATTTGGTGACGAGGCTGCAACGGAGATGCTTATGCTTGCTGGTGCAGATTGGAGCTTGCAGAATGAACAAGGGTGGAGCGCATTGCAGGAAGCTATATGTAATAGGGAAGAAAGGATTGCGAAGATTATAGTTAGGCATTACCAGCCTGTGGCTTGGGCAAAATGGTGCAGAAGGCTGCCTCGGCTGATTGGAACAATGAGACGGATGAGGGATTTCTACATGGAGATCACATTTCATTTTGAGAGCTCAATCATTCCTTTTATTTCAAGGATTGCCCCTTCTGATACTTACAAAATTTGGAAGAGAGGTGCTAATTTGAGGGCAGACATGACTTTGGCTGGATTTGACGGTTTCAGAATTCAGCGTTCAGATCAGAGTATTCTCTTCCTTGGTGATGGTTCAGAGGATGGAAAAGTCCCTCCTGGGTCACTTTGCATGGTCTCACACAAGGATAAACAAGCTATGAATGCTTTGGACGGTGCTGGGGATCCAGCAACTGATGCTGAAGTGCAGCAAGAGGTGATTTCGATGTCTCAAACTAATATATTCAGGCCTGGCATTGATGTAACTCAAGCAGTTCTTGTGCCTCAAACAACATGGAGGCGGCAGGACAAAACTGAAATGGTGGGTCCCTGGAAAGCAAAAGTGTATGATATGAACAATGTGGTTGTAAGTATTAAATCGAGAAGGGTCCCTGGGGCCATGACAGATGATGAACTCTTTAATTCTGGCAATGAAAATGAAACAGAGACTGAGGAGCTGGACGATATTTTGACAGAGGAAGAGAAAAGGCAGCTTGAGGTTGCATTGAAGTTGGACTCTGCAGATTTAAGCAGTGAGCATGGAAATGGCATTATTACACACCGCAATAGTTGTTATGAGCAAAGGGATATTACCGTTGAGGACATGAATGGTTGTAGGAATGGAGAAATAGAGGAAAAGAAAGGATGGTTTAATGGCTGGAGGAGACGAGAAAATAAACTAGAAGATAAGAAAAAGGTTGGTCCACCAAGAAGTTCTCTGTGCGTTGAAGATAAGGTTATCAATGTTTTGGAGGATTCTCCTTCTACAAGTCAAAGTAAACAGGGTAGGCAATCTGTGGAGGTAACTGTGAAGCGGGAAGAGAATCAACGAGGACATGACTCCATAGCTTCTTCATCTACAAATTCCGAGGTTGCAACCCTCCGCAAGGATGGAAACCGTGAGAATGAGTATAAGAAAGGGTTGAGGCCCGGTCTCTGGCTTTCTCCAGATTTCCCATTACAAACTGAAGAACTTCTACCATTGCTTGACATTTTAGCAAACAAAGTTAAAGCCATTCGGCGATTAAGAGAATTACTCACTACAAAACTTCCCAAAGGGACCTTCCCCGTCAAGGTATGCTCTTTATATTTTTATTAGTTCTCAATTTATATTTGTGCTTCATTTATAATTTTCATTTTTTTTTTTTTTTTGATTGACTGCTATGCTGCACCGACACTGACACATCGACACAACACGTGTCGAATACCACGTCGACATGTGATTTTTTTAAAAAAGTACTGACACGATACGTTGTCGACACGTCGTTAAATTCTTTCAATTTTTCATTTATATAGTATAAATTTAGTTTTATACTTGTTATTAATTTTTTGTGTTAATATCTTTTAAATGTGCATACTTATTTGTTATTTACTAATAATTTTGAATTAAAAATATATAATACTTCTAATAAAAAATGATCAAGGAGCTTCAGTATCCCACAGGATATGGATACGCTACCACAGTTGAAGTGTCCGTGCAACAGAGATTAGCGGTCTTTGCAAATAAATTCCTTTTTCTTAACTAACGATATTTATTATGTATGTATGATTATATTCTATATACAAGAATTGCATATTTCTCCTTCAATGGGAGTTGATGACATAGTATACCAAAGTAGAATTATAAGATTGTGCATGCATATGGCATTTGCACTATAATGTACAAGAGCATTTCTTGAAAATGCACATGCAAATCATCTCCTTAAGGCCTAGTTTTGATAATTCTTTTTCTCCCCTTCTCTTTGGTGAGCTGGGGCCATTTCCTTAAGGCATAGTGCCAACGGACATTGATAGGAAGAATTGTGGGCTTGTGGCTGTTGCAAGTAATGGAAGGCAGTGAAAATGAATATGGCCAGATACATGGCGTGGATTAAAAAGGCGACACGTAGGCAAAATTGGACATTATGCTGAGCAAGGAAATAAAAAGGAGTTTTTAACAGGTTCAAGAATAGTAATGGAGTAGGAACAGCCATTGAACATGGCATTCTTAGAAGCGAAACCGTTTGGAAATGGAATTGTATTAGTTAATGTTTTAGGAAAAGACATGGATGAGTTGATTTAAGCAGGCCCTAGTCAGAAACAGATCTTTTTTTGATGAGTTTTGAATGGTCTTGTGAGGAAAGGTAACTCTAGATATCTTGTATATGAAAATTTTGGCTTTGGGGATCAAAATGAAAAATGTAATGTCATATTGGACCTTTAGGTTCAACTATACCAAGGAAGGAAGACTTGAGAAGTAGTAATGCATAAATTAGATTGGTTCGGAAGAAGTTGAGAAATGCTACAGGGATTGCATGTGGTAGGAAAATACATAATGTTTAAAGGTAGGTCGTACAAAACAGTTATTAGACCGTCACTTTTTTATAGAGGCTGTGTGTTAGGATGCACAAAACTCTCTTTCACAATAATGTTTTGATCTTGATACAACATATTAGAAGAGATAGGTATACTAAAATTAATATGGCCTGATTTGGTTATGAAGAGATGATTATTGCATTGGATCTTCTAGTAGATGTAGCAATGGATTGAATTTGTTGAAAAAAAGGAGGAGGAAAAAAACTAGATTCATGTAGCCTACACCATCTCTATTGGGAAAAAAAAAATAATAATAATAAAATAAAAATTGTTTCTATGCAACCACCCCTTCCCCCAGCGATGGGGAAGAAGGGAGGGGGAGGGGGAGGGGGATATATTTAACCCCAGTAATATTTGGAAGGATTTGATTTCTTAGAGTTACCAAAATGATAAGCGGCTTGTGATTAAACACAGCTTAAAGCCATACCTTGGCTGATTTTTTTTAGAGTAGGATAAGCACATATAAAAGACTTCGAGCTGGTTTGGCTTACTATTAAATGCTACCAAACATGCTTTTATTGTTCACCAAGGTTTATTTGAATATTGTTTTATTTACTTTGGACATGGATCATAGTTCCACCACTGTGGTGTCAGTTACACTGCATAAAATTTTAATAGAATATGGTACACGTGCAATTTTTTTCAATTATCAGACAAATGCTACTGTGAGAATGAGTGCAGAGTAAGATCAAATACATGAACAAATTATTTGTGTGAAAGATGATTTGTCTCATCCAATTTGCAATTCAATTAATACATTGTTTACATATTTTTAACTTCATTTTTTTACCAGCTCTGCTAGGGGTGTCCAAAAGTCNTTAATTTTGCATGAAATTTAAGAACATTGTCAACATGATTATTAGCTTGGGGTGTCCAAAAGTCTCGAACCGGACTAAACCCGAACCGAACCGAGCGGTTCTTCATAAGTTTAATACCCGAACGGGTACCCGAATCGAGAACTGATGGGTTTGGGTCGAATCTCGATTCTAGACCAAGAACCGAAGAACCGAATAAGACCTGAAACTAACTAATTTTTTATATTTTTTATATTGAATTAATTAAATTAAATTATTTTTTTCTAAACAAATTAGCAAATTAATTAAATAAATCAGATCATGTCATAATTTTAATTTTAAAGCCCAATACCCAAATCATTTTAAATCCCATTTTAAGGACAAGAAACAGTAGAGTTTGGGATCCATTTGCAGTTTTTGATATGGGTTACCGATATTTTAATATTAATAACAACTTTTTGGTCTTTTTATGCGTTGAATTAATTTTATTGGACAACTAGTTATTTATATGTTTTTGAATCGAGCNTGGTATTTGTATGCATTTAATTAATTTAATTGTATAACTAGTTATTTATATGTTTTTGAATTGAGCTCCGTTAATTTATAAAAGTTACGAATGAAATGTCATTAATGGTATTTATGTAGTGTTGTTGTAAATGTTAAAAAATTTAATTATGGTATGGAACCGAAGAGAACCGAACGGAATCGAACCGAACAGAATCGAAATCGAACGGTTCCATAATTATATTTGGACCCGACGGGTCCATTTATTAAATACCTGAAAGTTTTGGGTCGGTCAGAATCAGACCGAATCGAATCGACCCACGGACAGCTCTAAGCTCTACACCAAATCACAATGGCATGTAGTCATATGAATTCTAGCAAGGAACTTAAATAATTTTTATCAGATACCCATCGCCATTTGAAAACTGTACTTAGCCCCTGTTTGGGCTCCATTTTTGTAAAAAAATGCATTTTCTCTTTCTTATTTTTAACCACGCATTCCAATAAAATAATATTACACGTAAACTCAAACTTTTCCCTTTTTTTACTACACATTCTTTAAAAAATCACTATTCCAAAATACATTTTTCTCCAAAATTTATTTATAGTGGAGCCCAAACAGGGGCTTCGAGAATGTTTGATTTTCAAGTACATGTATAATAACAATGCCCTTCATGTAAATTCTAGATTTTTCTTTTGTTTTGGCTTACTATCTATCATTGGATCTGCATATAGTAGCTGCACTGAATTGAGTTCAAAGTTTGTACCTGCTATTTGATTGTACTTCTATCATATGATCTCTGAATCTGATTGTCTACTGTTGATTTTTCTCCCATCGCTAATATGATGTCATCAATATTGTTTTGCATCTATCTCTAACACTAGTCAAAGGGAACAATTGTGACAGTGTCATTGTTAATTGTATAGGAGTCTGTTTATTCCAAAGGTGAAAATGAAGTCCTTGATGTCTTTTCATGTTTCTCTTTTAAAATGAGCAACCAGAAGAAAATACTTCTTTTGAATTGGGGGCTTTATTTCAAAGGACATCAGAGAGAAGAATAGAAACTTTCTCAAACATAACAAACATCTTCTGGGATAAAATAAATCTTGTTTTCATTTATCCCTGTTTTAACACTTGAGATTCAGGACGTTCCCTGAATCTTTCCCCCTACTAATCCTATTTTTTAGGCAACAATCAACTGGAAAACCTTTAGTTCCATAAACTTTTATTGTCTTTGTGGTTATTGTCCATTGAAACAATTATGAGTCAGTGGAGATGAAGGAAAAAACTACTGACGAAAGAAATGTCACTTTCCAGACTTATGCTTTTTCTGTTGAAGTCATTATTAAACTTTGGATGTTCCTTTCCAATCACTTCAGGTAGATGTCTCAAGCTAGGAGTCTATGATACATCGACATGGACATGTGTGTCCAACACAATACATGTCGGATATATCGACACGCGATTTTTCAAAAAAAAAAGTACAGACACGACATGGTGCTGACACATTAATTAAATTCTTTAAAAAATTTCATTTATATATATAAATTTAATTTTTAATTTTATATTTGTTATTAATTTTTCTTGTTGAAATATTTTAAATATAAGTACCTATTTATTATTTACTAATAACTTCGAGTTTAAAATATATAATATTTCTATTAAAAATAAAATAAAAATAATCATAGTAGAGTGTTTGATGAGTATCGGTATCGGACACGTGTCGGATACGAACAAGTTACTCTAGTTGAAGTGTCCATGCAACAAAGTTAAGAGTTTGTGCATACAGTCATTTTTCTGTCCTGAAGTTAAGATTATAAATTAAAAATTTCTCGTGTCTCTAGTAACGTAGGCTGACGAGGTGGTTCAACATGGAATGAGACTTGTGGAATTTGATTTCCTAATATTTGGTGTTTATTAGTTCTAAATTTGTGTAGATTCAAATTTTAGTTTGATTCTTGTTGTATATGTATTTTGAAGCTTTGATAAGTAAAAAAGGAAAAAGGAAAAAGTGAGCGAAATCCAGTTGGTTACATGGTATTAAAGCAAATAGAGGTCTAGTGTTTAAGTCTCACCTTCATACATGTATGATAATCTAGGTGTAAAGCCTCTCTTTAAAGAATGAATTTTGGCTGCAGTAAGGGTGCTTGTTGAAAATATAGTTATAGATAAATAAATAAATGAATTTGTTCTCTCTTTTATAGTTTACGCATTCAGACAAGATTGTTTAACAGAACAGGAGTCCGGGTAGGAGGGCAATAAAGAATGGAGAGGCCTTTGTGGGAAAATGATCTTGAGCGGGGTAATATGCCAGACACTTGTTTTCTACCTCATTTTGGCACAAACATTGCCGGATCGGTTAATGGTCAATATTCAACCATGATGAGAAACAAGAAAAGTTCTAATGTGCTTTTTGATAATGGGGAATCTCCTAAACAATAGCTTGACAAGTGTTGCCAATCAAGTGGTATATAAGGATCACAAAACAGACAAAATTACTCAAAACTAGTTTATCGACATTATTATCTCTACAAAATTTCAGATTTTGTTGGCGATATGCTGTGCAGAATGTCAAAGAAGCAATCTCCTGTCAAATAATCACAATGATAAAATCTTGTCAATTTGGTTTATCACGTCTGGTTATATCTTTTAAATATGTCGAGATATGCCTTAATATTGACAGCCTTGGACTAAAATGAAGTATTTTAGCAGTCAATTCGATTGTTTTTTTGGCATCATTGATCAAGTATGGAGATTAAGGGAAAAAAAGTTGTGATGGAAGAAGCTTTGTGCGCACTTCTTTCTGTTCGTGAATTAACTGAAGCTCTACAAAACAATGCTTAGGTAATATAACGAAATGTTTGCCAGTTCAAATTATCTTTCCTTATTCCATGTTTTGATAAGAATAGAAAATAAATGATGCTTTCTTCTTGATGCAACAAATCTTTATCACACATATAAAGCACTCTCTTAATTTTACGATTGAAAGAATTGCCTTTTTTTACTCGTAATTTGTATAATTAATCTACAAATATGATGATAACTTTCTGCTCCGAAAACTGAGACAACTTTGTCCATAAATGTTGATCCATGTATATTTTTCTCGTTTCAGGTTGCTATTCCTGTGATACCAACCGTCAAGGTTTTGGTTACCTTTACAAAGTTCGAAGAATTACAGCCGTTGGATGAGTTTTTGACGCCCCCTTCAAGTCCCACAAATGGAGGTGGAGAGAGCCCTGCAGCGATGCAGTCATCAAGTTCATCTTGGTTCCAGTGGATAAAATCTTCTTATCAACGTCCCAGTTCATCTACGAGTGGTACAAGCAATATGGTTGAAAATCATCAAGATCCATTCGCTATTCCTTCAGATTATACTTGGATTACTGCCGAAGAAAAGAAAAAGAAAATGCAGGAAAAAGGCAGGTTGAAGAAAGCAAAGAGTAAAAAGCCACATTCATAATTAGCCATCAAGTGGGATAATTTATCTATTGATAAAGGAGCTCTACAAATGCCAAACTGTTATAGTAGTTTTGTTGATCAACTAATTTCATTGACTAAACGAACACGAAAAACGCCATAGTACTTGTTGTAAAGATCTCTTATACCATGTGGATGAGTATTAAAAAGAAAAAAAACAAGACAAAATCTTGTCCATTATAAAAATTCAAAGTTGTATATGTAGGAATGTTTCACAGATCATTTACATTGAGTGATTATGTGGTCTAAAGTTTGAGATTGTTCTTATATTCTGCATTGTGCATTCACTTGTTTCTATCATTGTTAGTTGCTACTGATTCAGGAGTTTCATTTAATGTGTTTCTGCTCATCAAATTCAGCTTAATTGTTTTCTGCCATGTTACACGTTTGGCTAAGGCTAAAAAGGGAATAAGTTACTTTTAAATAAAAAGGCAAATTTTCTTTTTAAATATGTATGTTTGGATAAACATAAAAGTAAGTGTACGTTTGAAACTCGCAAATGAGCAAAAAGAATGTTGGCAACATTAGATTTTAGAACATTTTCAAAAGACTTTTTGTTTATTAGAAAATCTCATATATTATAGAAAGCATTTTTAAATTTTAAAAAAATCAAAGTTTTTATGCACTCCCTATTTTGACTCTTCATTTTAGTTTTTTCAAGTAATATTTTTTATTTCTTCTCATATTTTATTTAATTAATTTTTTATATGTTAATGGTCAATCAACTTAAATATGATTAGAATAGTTTAAAAAGTAGAGTATTGAAATATGAATATTGTTAAACGTAATTATTGTTCATTAAGAGTAAAGAGTGCGTTTGACTCTTTAAATTTGAAAATTCAAATTTGCTCTCTCTATTTTAAAAAGTTAAAATAGAGTCATTTGGAGCTTATTTTTAAATATTGACTTTTTAAAATAAAGATCATTTTGTGTTTAGAGTCTTTTGAAAATACTTTTAAAAAATAGAATCCTTTCTGCCCTTTACATTGTGCAGATATGGTTTCTGTAATTTTGGTGGTGGATGGTGGGGCAGATCCGTTTGTGGGGTAGCGTGGATTAATGATACATTTTCCTAGGTTTGGATTGCACATACGAGGTATGTATGTGGGTTGTGTTGTTGATTTGTGCATTAAGTAGGAGTGGAGTTGGTGATAGTCGATTTTTTGGATTTATAATGATTTTTTTGGGATAGATATGGTGGAGACATGGTCGCATTAGTAATGATGATGATGGTGGTGGATCGTGGTAGTGCAAAGTTATTAACTTACAAATTAAATAAATGTATATTAGTAAACGAACAAAATAATTATTTTCTTAATAAAAAACACGACCAAAAGATAAGAAAATGAGGAAAATCAACATATATAAATGATAAATTGAACGGAAGAAGTACTTCTGTTTGTCCGATCCAACTCGATGAAACAAACTTGTCAAATATCTTGGCCGGGCAGAGGGTGGCAATTGGGCCTTTTTCATAATTTTTTATGGGAAAAATTCATTTATCC